CCCCAGAGGTAGGCAAAGCATTCATATGCTATCCTCTCGTGGGCCAACCAGGCCCAGCCTCTCTAAAAAAAAAAAAAAAAAACAATATATCCCATATATAATATATAGATATCAGACATATATTAAATCATGGTTACAATAGCCACCATAGCTACCATTGCATAGTTGTCCTATTTCTACTCAAGTATAAGTTCTGTTAATCTGGTCTCCAGCATTCTAAAATTGTCTAGGAGCTGTTAACTGGATTTCTTTGAAAGACCTCTGGTATGAAGGTGAAGATGAAGGTGCCTTTCTAGAGCTTATAGGTTCATTTTATTTAGTTTTATAACAGTTCTTGAGTTTCTTCAGATATAAGCCCTCTTAAATTCTGAGAGCATTGTTATCGGAGACGAGGTGGAACCACTTAGAACATCTCTGATCTCATTATTCATACTAATCCTTCATACAGCCCAAAATCCAACCTCATGATAATTATGCATAATGTTGAATAATATGCTACACATCTAGAGTAAAGACATTAGTTCGGATTGGATCCGTGTACCCCCATCCAGGGTCTCCCAAATATGGCATAATTTAGTAACATGATACTCCACCTAGCGCTGCTATAAAACCTCGCGTAGGAAGTGCAATGCTCATGTATGGTCTGTTATTTATTAATCGTTATAATTTGCAATGTAGTTGGAAACTTTTATTTGAGTTCCTCGTCTCATGGTGCCATCGGCACCATGAGACACCATCACCCTGTGGGAAGGGACACCCTATCTACTCACCCTGGTGGATACGATTACTACAATAAGGGAGACAGACACCATGGCCACCAGAGATCGGTCAACCAAGCCATTCTACAGACTGGCTACGAGTACAACGAAGGAAACTATCCGGAAACAGAAAAATATATATATCTAAATTTCAGTTCTGTTCATAATATAACTGACATGATTCTAGAAAATATGGACCAGGATGCAATTACCCCGTCAGTTACCCATATCGCAGTTTGCAAATCCCCGCTTGAGGCACCTTACAGTAAATCTCCATCTATCATAAAAGAAAAAGTTGGGAAGCAGTATACATCTATTGATTATCACGCATTTTTAGTTCTAAACAAACATCGGAATTTTCCTGACACTAGAAAAAGAAAGAGACTGCATCAAAATCGGCATCGGTCCTCCGATTAACGGTCCGGTTTGTGAATTTTCTACGCGTCCACGCAGTTCTCCAGTGAATCTTTTGATTGAAGATGAGTCCAATTATACTATTTTAGAAATGATAGAATTGGTAAAAAACGAAAAAGATTTAAACTACAAACTATTTAGAGATAACTGTAAAAATTTTGCAAAAAGATTATTTGATAAAATTGCCTGCACAAAGCATTTCAATTATACGACAGCTGAGGAATTTATGAAAAATCTAGGTTTCTTATTCGTTTTCTTATTCGTTTCAATAAAAAAACTTTATATTTTAGTTTTTAGAAACACTAACTTGATTACTACGGTATCTTTTTTTTCTTAAAAAAAAAATAATGAAATAACAAAATTTAAAAAAGAAAAAGAAGCTTGATTTACTTAAAATCGCCTGTTTCCCATTTGTGATAGTTTTATTCGCTGTATTTTACTTTTACTTTAGTTTTACAGAATTTGTTTTACTTGGTAAGATTGAAAAATAGGCCATCCGTCTGTTCATTATTTTTCTCTTTTAAAACTAACTAAAAGCTAACTAAAAATTAACTAAAACTTACTAAAACTAACTAAAAACTAACTAAAAACTAACTAAAAACTAACTGAAAAATAACTGAAAAATAACTTAAAATAACTTAAAATAACTTAAAATAACTAACAATTAACTTAAAAATAACTTTAAATTAACTTGCTAAACTATCTAAACTTAAAACTAAGTTAAAACTAACTTTCACTACTTTTAAAACCCGCCGTGCATCAATTTTGCTGAAATTTGGGCTCGAGGTCGGACTGTTTTCAATAGCTCATAATAAATTGTGAAACGAAAGAATTGTGGAAATTTCTTGAATATTCTATGAAGAAATAGCATAAAATGTAGAATGTTTACAGATAACCGCGTATTTGGTAAACGCCAAGGGCTCACGTCACTGGGAAGTCGCTAATCAGTAGGATTGAAACTTGGCTGGGGTCCAACTTGTTATACGTTGTATACGACGTGATACAGGGGTCCAACTTGTCAGTCAACAGGTTCAATTTATTAATTATTAATCAACTATGTACAGCAAACACAAGATAATATAAATTAAATCATAAAATCGAGTGGCCGAGTAGTCTCGACTCACCCATAACTTCTCCAAAGGCGTCTATCATGAGCTTTGTACACTAAATCGTTGAAATTACTTAAACTAAATCTTTTATTTACAATCACAATAATTTGTTTTGTCATAATGTCTTTTAATAATAAATCAAATAAATTTGAACGAGGTCTGCCCCTCCTTCCTTTGTAGTCAAAACAACCTAAACATGCAAATCTGAAAGATAAGAAGGCGGGAGTGTCATCACCGCTTCTGAGAACGTGCCCAAGCATCTTCCATCTTGCTTTCTTGATCCTTTCAGTAAGGGGTCTGACATTACATCTCTTATATAAATTCTCGTTGCTGATAACCGTAGGCCAATAGGTGTTGATTATCTGTCTCAGATGCTTCCTTTGAAGAACGTCGACAGATGCCATTACGGTTTCAGGAGCAGCCCAGCTGCTACAGTTATACAACAACACTGAAGTGACAAGAGCTTCGTACAGCTTCAGCTTTCTACTCTCACTGATCTGAACTGAACTATTCAACCAGACTTTCTTGTAGGTGTAGAAGGCAACATTGGCTTTGTTGCGTCTGTTGACAATATCTCTTTCTGAACAGAGCTTTGATCCTAATAGCACTGACTCTCGCCACTCTTCATCTCCTCTAATTTTATTGCCATGGGCATCTAAAGCATCTGTATCTGCCAAATACACTCTTGTAAACACCGTCTTTGATTCGTTAACAAAGAGACTCCAATCCTTTAGTATATCACTGGCAATCTCTAGTATCTTCACCAGGCTCTGACCATCTTCACTCAGAAGCTCAGCATCGTCAGCATAGGCGGACTCTAACGGGAGGCCTCTATCAGAGACTGGGGGGTTCGGTCTAGGAATTGTGACACTGATCACGGCTCTGATGTGATTCAGGGCACCGGCAAGGGTCAATGTAAACACTTTACCTGCCAGACTGTCTCCCTGGTAAGCGCCAATATTGATCACAAATTTACCAGACTCAGATCTGTTGACCGTCACCTTGAGCTTTGTATTTGAGAGGAGGTACTGAACTAGGCGAATGTCGTCTCTAGAGCATCCTGCATCAATGAGGAGGTTGATGATGGTCTGTCTGCGGATAGTATTAAACGCAGCGGTCATGTCAATGTTGATTTTACTATACTCAAACTCGCGCCTGGTAACCACTGATGTCAACATTCTCTGAGACCATACCAGGTCAGCACAACTGCGACCCTGCTTGTATGCCGCCTGCCAAGGTCCAGTGTACATATCAACGTGGTAATTGATTCTGTTCAAGGCTACGAGGGATAGGACTTTTCTAGTTCCATTTAGCAATGTGAGGGGCCGGATAGACTTTATCGGACCTCGGGGTTTTCCTGGCTTCTGAAGGGGTGTCAGGATACCTTCTCCAATAGCTGGGATGTATGTGTTGGTCTCAAAGGAGAGATTATAGATCCTAGCCAACTCACAGTGGAGGGGATATCCAGCAGCTTTCATTAGCTCATTAGGTATACCGTCAGGGCCACACGCTCTACCGGATTTCAGCTTCATAACAGCACGGCCAACTTCTTCAGGTGTTATGGGACAGAGGAGGCTTCCAGGAGGGTCTATGAATGCTGGGAGGTGGGGTTCATCTTTGTCATTGAACTCATTATTAAAGTATTCTTTAATAGCTTCTGCTTTTAATGAGTCAGAACCTAAGGTATTCCCGTCTGCATCGTGGACAGTCACTCCGTCTTTCTTCATCCTACACTGGGCCAAAGTTCTATTCGCTTCAAACATGCTTCTGCAGCTGTCGGTGGTGTTGATGACATCTACTAGGGCGTTAGCAGTGGCCTCGTTGATGGATTTCAACCTCTTTTTGATGGTACGTTTGAGATGGTTGATTCTTTTTCTGAGGTCACTCCTGTCGCTTATCCCTGTGAGACTACATTCTTGCTGAAGGGACTTTCTCTCTGCTGAAAGTTTAACGACAGTTGGATCGTCGCTGTACTGATGAGGCTTCCCCGGGGGCACTTTACCAACCACCTGGACGGCACATTTACTCAATATACCAAATATATCAGAATTTTCAGAAATGGCATTATTAGTTAAAACTCTACAATCAATATTACTTTTAAAGGAATCAAAAAATTTAGACTTAATATCAGAATCAGGTTCAACAGGTTCAATAGCCTTTCTATTATATCGGCTCACCACAAGGACGTTGTTGATGGAAAAAGTTTGGAGGACATCGGAAAGGACATCGATTTCATCAGCCTTTAATATGAGTCCAGAAAGCTGCGCTTTTGGAAATTCTGAATTAATTCTTCAAATATGGTAACTATTTCAAAAACTAGATGTGAGCTACAGTAGATACTACTAATCAAGGTAACTTTGGTAACTTTGGTAACTATTAGTGGCTCAGTGGCTTAGTTGGTTAATCTGTTTGTCTGCTGGCCCCTGACGTTGCGAGTTCGAATCCCAGTTGGGCCAAGATTTCAAAATAGATGGGCAGCCGTCACTCACCAAACCATGGTGTGAATGGTAGTGGCTCTCATTAGAGCTGCGAAAATAACACGAGTTCATATGCCTGGGGTTGCGTCCCGACTATGCTGCAGGGAAATCTGTACCGAAAGGACCGTGGCCGCACCGCAAAAAGAAAAGGAGATCGGCCCCTCGATCCTAGCTTGCTAGGTTCGCCATTGTTGTTGTACTTGTTGTTGTTGGTAACTATTAAACTATGGTAACTATTTCAGATTCTAGATGTGAGCTACAGCAGATACTACGGTCTCATCTTCCTCCTGATAGACAGTCTCACTATATGGGTCTACACTTCAAGGTAATTACTTACAAAATAACGTTGTCAGTAATGTATAAGGCATCGTTTAGCGTTTTTAATATTTTATTTCGTTATGATCGATATCCCAATTATTCCCACGAGATCCCAATTATTCCCACTCACTCATGGTGATGTCAGATATAGTTTATATTTTCAGCATTTCGTGCACTACTTACTACATTTTCCAGTTGAATAATGATTATTGAACTTAAAAAGACTTGACACGTTGCGAATAATTGTTAATCATGTTAATCATCCAGATTCCAGTTAACCGCTCACACTTAAAAAATCATTAAATTCTTGAAACTCATAATTTGGTTATCAATATTCGAAAATTATTCCAAAAATACTTAATTGGAACCAGAAAATGTATGTGCGGCAACAATTTCCGCACTGTAATTGTTTCTGAGTGCCCTCTCAAAAGTTCACCCATAGTATAGTTTCTTCTTTGTACTTGCCAATCAATTACAGTCTCAAAATCAAGGCTAACTGCACCGCCCCTCCTAATACGGTAGCACACGTGCTGGACAGTGTTGTTTGATGAACTTCTTAGATGGACTCCTCCAGAACCTGACTCCCTCGCTCAACAGATCTAACAGCTGAACCCCTCCCCGGGGCCCCTCCCCAAGAACCCCTCCCCCCTCCTCCACGCCGTCTCACCTCAGCTGCTGTAGCAGGAGCAGTCAGCACTCCTACCCTCTCTGCTAACTGCCGGGCTGAAGTGCAGATGAACTCCCTGAAGCTGCTTACAGTGAGACTATACACGTAGAAGTTAGCCATGATGTTGAGGTTGGAGATGAAGAGAACAGTTCTCCAGGTGGAGGTACTAGGAGTCACTGCTAGACTGGACAAGGTCACTACAAACCAGGGCAGGTTGGACACCAGGTACACCACAGTTGTGGAGACGACTGTCAGCACACCCTGCCACCGGAGACACTTCCCTCTCTCCAGGGCTAGCTTCCTTGCTTTTAGGAGGAGTAGAGTGGACGTGGTCACCAGCACTAGCATAGCCAGGAGGAGGCCTCCGAACGTGAAGACAGCAGCAGACCATTCCAACCAAGCAGGAGCAGGTGTCTGCCTGTAACTGCATGTGTAGTCCAGATAGTTGAAGTAGAGATCCTCAGAGCTGCAGAAGAAGACGTGGAGGAGCTGACCTGGTTGAAGGAGACCCAGGACCCAGAACACAGCACACACCATGTGAACCCGCCTCTCTGTCCAGGAGCCAGCTCTCAGAGGGTGGACCACTATCAGCAGCTTGTTAGTGGTCAGAACACAGGTTAGACCTGCAGTGGCAGTGATGCACACTATGTTAATGTTGGGGTTCAGCAGACAGAACACCTCTCCCAGCACCCAGTCCTGTGCTGACAGGGATATTATTTGGGGGACAGTCTCGAACGTGGTGAGAAGGAGATCACTGACTGCTAGGTGGATAATCACTACGACCACGGCTTTGTGCAGCTTGATGGCCTTGTATCTGGTGATCCCCACTAGGATTATAGTGTCTCCTACCAGGGAGGAGAGGGCTACGAGAATGTTGAAGGAGATCCAGAGGTGTAGTTCAGTGCTCGTGTGTATCCCGAGCTCTGTGAAGTTGTTAGTGTGTATCCCGAGCTCTGTGAAGTTGTTTGTGTGTACCATCCTGGCCTGGAGCTAGAGAGTATTGTGTTATATATAACATCACAAGAAGAAAACCACAAATAACAGCTGAAAAACCGACAGATGAAAAGATGGTCTGAGACTGACAAAAATTAAGAAAAATTCAAAATTCTGGTCGTCGATGGTCTCAAAATAGCAGTATAAACGGCCCCAGGTGTCTCGAAACCACTCTTTTTAATCTACCCTCTATACTGTATAGGACCGTGTAGGAATGTAACATAGTAACTACCAAACCACTGGAGCACTGGGTGCAAGTTGTAGTTACGCATATCAGCCTCCGCCAAATTAAACGTGTAGTACGTTTCTTAGGGAGGTCAGGTGCTGTCATAGGAATTTTAACAATGATCTCATATCAGCTCCATATCTCATAGTTGATGATATCAAATATCAGCCCAACAATCACGATACCAGGTCAAAATGCAGTTTAGTTATCTACTCATTCGGGTTATTTAACAGCGCAAAGAATCCGGTAAAAAATTAAATAGTTAAATGATGACATATCAGGGTCTAACACGCCTCCCTCCCTCCCTCCCTCCCTCCCTCCCTCCCTCCCTCCCTCCCTCCCTCCCTCCCTCCCTCCCTCCCTCCCTCCCTCCCTCCCTCCCTCCCTCCCTCCCTCCCTCCCTCCCTCCCTCCCTCCCTCCCTCCCTCCCTCCCTCCCTCCCTCCCTCCCTCCCTCCCTCCCTCCCTCCCTCCCTCCCTCCCTCCCTCCCTCCCCCCTCTCTCCCCTACTAACAGTGAAAATTCAGGACAGACCCCGCATCTCGAGTGGACCATTGGGAGGAAGATGTTTTGAGGCTGATGCTCCATACTGAGGACGTTTCTGGAACTCTAGGAGTAACCTGTTCTATCCAGGTAATACTATGGCAACCACTTTTGTTAATTTATATATATATAATATTAGTTGCCTGTTATATCCATTATCCTTCTTATTAATATGTTATTTCAATCGGGCACTCGGTGACCTGTGTGTTATTCAGTTATTTTCGTATGATTTTGTACTGTTCAATCACAATTTTAACTGATTTGGAACTTAAACTTAACCCGAATTACGGGTTTCAACTGGATACCGCAGTGATATGACAAGTTTTGACAATCTAGCGAAATCTCAACTAAACAAGAGCGTACTTTGTTTCCGTTACATAAAACATTATATCAGATAGTTTATTGAAGAGAAAGTGAATTAACGAGGCAGACATTGCTCACTCCGATTAAAACACTTGACTTTTAAATGTTTAATAGTTTAATGAATCTTTAATAATGGTTTAAATAGACACTTACATTTTTTAAAGCTACGACGAATAAAAAAACAAACATTTTCCTTGTCAGCTAAATCAAGATGAAATCAACAAACGGAATAGTAAATCACTTCCCAAAAAATGGAATAAAACTAGTTAAAAGGTTAATGTAAAATACTAATGAACTCCTTTACATTTGCCACAATCTTCTCGTTACTCTGTTTCTTCAGTAGCCACATTGCTGGGGAGACCATGTCTTCAAGAACGTACATCTCCTCATCAAGTGAACTAGATCTAGCTATCTCCACCATACACTTGGTCACGTTTTGTAGATAGTCCAGCTTGTGAGGGGGTTCTCTTTCAAGGGACTTAGTGATAATGTCAGAAATAAATTTGAAGATCTTGGCGAGTTCAGTTTTTCCTGGAGCAGTATATTCGACTGACTTGTCGCAAGATAGCTGGCAAAGTTTCTTGAAGACCCGCTTACAGTTAGGAAACTTGGCAATCATCCAAAGCAGTTTGAGGAGTGTTGTATCCACAGGGTTCAAACGGAAAGCTGGTTCAATCACCTCGTTCACAAGGACGCACTCGAGCACTGAGAGGTCCAGAGAACAACAAGACTTAAGGAGTAGAAGCATGACACTGTAGGTGAACTCCAAAGATACTTTCTCCATGTGCTTGGATAACTTCATCTTCTTCCAGACGATAGGCATTATCTCTTCCAACTTTTCTTGCGTAAGAAAGTTCAATTCGTGCTGTTTAATCATTGCCTGAAGACCAGTAGTGACAATAGTAGAAGCCAGTAAGTGATCTCCAGTCTGTTTTAACACATGTGCGAAGGAAGGGATAATATTGTACTCTTTTTCCATAGCTTCAAGCTGGCCCAGACGGTCGGCACGAATCGTATCACGGAGGATCTTTATGTTCATCATTAAAACCAAATTTCGGCCTTCCATATCTGCACATGAAAGACCTCGGCGGCCACATTCGTCTACATGATTTGCGAAAGCAAGACGGTTTATGCACTTGGCAGAGAAGAAATTAGCCTGCTCTAGAAGCTGTGAGGTATTTTCAAAATCATCAAGAATTCTAGCGATCACCCTTGACACCAAATAAAAAGAGAACGGATATTTATGACCGAACGATATCAAATTGGAGACGAGCCTATTTTCAGGACTTGAAAACAGATCTTTGAGTTCATCGGATTTTGAATCTTCTTCAATGACCAATTCGAAAGCAGTCAAACAGAATTCAGCATAGAAAGGACCATCCCCTACTCTCCGGAACAGCATATCACTTTTCAAGAAAGCCTCCATTAAATGAAGCAGCACTATTCTATCTTTCTTGGGTAAAGTAGAAGGTCCCACATCATTCTGTAGTAATATAAAGTAAGTTATTGCATTTCTAATCACATTGCAGGGATCCGACTTCGAATCGCTTGCTACACGTTGTATACCTCTCGTGCCGGCCTGCGCGAGCTCAAAAGGGGTTACAGCGTGTGTCAAAGAATCGCTCAATGAGCAGAGGTTGGGAGTATTTTGCGGAAATGTGTCCAAAAAGAGGACCAGTCTTTCCATGATTCTGGAGCTGAGAATTAGTTTCAAGTATGTTTCCTGTGTAGAACAACTTTCTGTTACAGCTAAGGAGGAGAGTGTGCGAGCTATCAGTTGTAGAGCATCCGATTCCACCGCCTGTCTGCAAATCTGATGGAAAGCTTCTGAACCTCCATCAGAAGAAACCAGCCAGCTTACCGTTTCTGAAATAATTAAAACATTAATTTAAAGTTAGGACCATTATCTTGTAACAGGGGCCCGGGCCAGGGTGAAATGTAGGGGCAAAAAAGCAAACCAAATTTAATATGATCCTGATTTTATCAAGAATATAAAATAACAAGTACGCTAGTAAAGACGAATTCAGAAAGTTAAAGAGTTTAAATTGCGAATATTATAGTATTTGTACCTTTCAGCAGATTATCTTCTTTATTGATAAGAGCCAGTAGTTGTGTACAGAGTCTAGTCGCTTCTTCCTTCTCTATTGAACCCTTTAGTCGTATCAGTATCTTCTTTACCGGCTCCATCGTTCACTAACGTATTCTGTGTAAAATTATATTTATCCCGGTTACTGCGACAAGTAAAAATGCTCTTATTAGGGAAAAGGAGTTTACTCGACCTTTCAATGTAACTACATCGTATTCATGATTAGATCTAAAAACAAGTGTTACAAATTCAAAACGTAAAAAACATATATCTGAGGCGAAATTTGTGTACATTAATTCTTTAATTTATTTTAATTAATCAACTTTATCCAAAAATGCGATACAAAATTCATAACAAAATTAGTTTATACGACGACAAACTTTTATAGTAAATACCGTACAGTCCTAAAACTACTACAAGACAAAATATACTACACATGATTCATAAGCATGGAATGCTACAACGGTGAACAAGTGCATGATGTGAAGTGTGTAGGAATGTATTTAGTGTGGAGTGAAAATGGTGGGAATGGTACTGACCAATGAGAAGTACGAAACGTGGGAGCCAAATATGGTTTGATTGAGGTAAAGGGTTAGTGTGTTGAATGTGAGGCGTAAGTGTGCGTGTGTGAGATGTGGTCCCTGTACTCAGAAAGTAAACAAAACCTATAAATATCACTAAATATCACTACATGTGTAGACGATCCCTGTCTGTAAAGTATAAAATATGTTACATTCACTAACAGTAGAACACTGGTTAGAAGTGGAACTTATTTTACTATTTTCTACTTACTAATGAAATTTATAACTCATAACGACAAACGATTACGTTAGAACGTAAGTCACAATATTCTGAATAAATTGCAAATATCAACGGACTCCTCAAATGGAGAAACGACATCAAAACATACAGAAATTAGCAATGAAAACAGTTATCAAACTACCAGTTATAACGCAGTCAAACCTTCAAGAAATGTGAACCCTTATTAGCAACTAGAGTCTCGCGTGATAGTAATTACACGACGAGTACAAGTACATGTACACGAAATGTACTTTGAAATAAGAGAAGATATATTCTCAGCCTCACAACTAATTGGCTCGACCCCATTGTTAATCATGATATGATTAGCTTTAATGACAAGCTTGAGGAAAAGGCATCTTACACAATGTTGAGGCTAAGTGACGTATTAGTCGCGATGTAGAATCGAAACATAACAAGTTTCCTTACTAAATTAAGCTAAATCAAGATGAAATCAATAAACGGAATAGTAAATCACTTCCCAAAAAATGAAACAAAACTAGTTATAAGGTTAATGTAAAATACTAATGAACTCCTTTACATTTGCCACAATCTTCTCGTTACTCTGTTTCTTCAGAAATCTGAATTGAAATTTCTTCCTGCTGATAAGGGCAACGCCACTGTTGTACTGACTCACGATCAATACATAACCAAAGTTACCGACCACTTATCCTCAGGTAGTTACACCCTCTTAACGAAAGACCCCACTCAATCCGTTACCACTAAACTACAGAAAGTCCTCAAGAAACTACACACCGACAAGAAGATCACGACCGACCTCTACCACAAGATGCGCAACCTACATCCTAGATGGCCTCAACTTTACGGACAACCTAAGATACACAAACCCGGCGCACCTATCCGTCCCGTAGTCAGCTTCTACAACACCCCCCTCCAAGCCCTCCACAAAGTCCTCGCATCTTTCCTCAAACCCCTAGCCCAGAACCCCTTACGCCTCAAAGACTCTTCCGACTTCAAACATCGCTTCGACTCCTCTCTCAATCCCTCCTTCCACTACCACGCCTCCTTAGACGTCCAATCCTTGTACACCTCCTGTGACATGCGCCTAGCCCTCAAAACTGTCATCTCCTCCTTTGAACAGAACCCCTCTCGTCTTCCCTCCAATGTCACCACCACCACCATAGGCTCCCTTATCAACTTTTGCCTTGACAACTCATACCTTGAATTCAACGGCTCCTTCTACTCCCAAGACGAAGGTGGTACAATGGGATCCCCCCTCATTGTTGAACTAGCTGAAATCCGCCTTGCTGAAATCGAGACCTTAGCTTTATCCTCATGTCCTGACCCTCCGAACACTTACTCCCATTTCGTTGACGACGGCCTTGGATCTTTCAGAGACAGAAACCACGCAGAATCCTTCCTTACATTCCTTAACTCCCTTACTGAAGACCTCAACTTTACCCAAGAACATCCCTCTACAGACGGAACTATACCCTTCCTTGACGTTCTCATCCACCCTGACAAATCCACATCAGTCTACAGAAAACCCACCCACACCAACCTCTACACCAAGTACTCCTCCTGCACCACCAACTCATCTAAGAACGCAGTCATCCGATCACTGACCAGAAGAGCCCACAACATCTGCTCACCCCAACACCTTGACGACGAACTCCAGACAGTACGACACGTTTGCCTCCAGAACGGCTTCCCTCCTCACCGCATCACCACCATCATGGACGAAGTACAACGGAAATTCACCAACCCCTCTCGCCACCAATCCCTAGCCTCATTCAACCGACAGACCCGTGAACATGCCCTTAGTGTTTCTCTTCCTTTCCATCCCTCCCTATCCAAACCCATCTCCAAGATACTCGGACAACACGACATCAAAGTCACCCACTCCTCTGCTACCTCCCTCCGCAACCTCCTCACCAAAACGAAGACCACACCCCCTACTCACCTCACTCCCAACACCATCTACGAAATTTCCTGCTCACAGTGCCCCTCCAAATACGCCGGACAGACCTACAGACCCTTGGTCCACCGCATGAAAGAACACGAACGATGTTACAGACTCAACAACGCCATCGACGAATCCACAGACAGAATCAAATCAGCTCCTGCACATCATGCCCTGACCACCGGCCACACCATCTCCTGGAACAACATCGAAGTCCTCAAATCCCTCACCTCAC